CTCTCCCTCTCCCCTCCCCCTCTCTCTTTCTTTCTCTCTTTCTTGGCTTTCACCATTCGCTGAATGCTCGTCGCGTTGCTACCCTTGCTTAAGAACCCGATTTCTCGCACCCCGCAGACTCCTGCTTCGCCAATTTTCCTCTCGATGCAGACAGCTGATGCCTACAGAAACGCGCGAGAATTAAATCACGACGCGACTGACCCGAAAGGATTCCTTTCTTGAAATAAATTCTTTGAGAATCCTTACTAGAAAGAATTCTTCAAGGAATACTTTGACTGTACGCCGAGATCTTTTCTGCAACTTTTCTGAACAAATATAAGGTGTAGTTTTATAGTCGAAATAGGACACAATGAAAATAGTAATTAAAAGTCATTGTTCTCAAATTTAAATTTGTTATAATATCACTAACTTAGAAATTTTGAGAAAATTCTTTTACAAATGTTATATATTTCGTTAGAATAGTGGCATACCATTAAAAACGGCTTAAAAAGTGTTATCATCGAATGTTTCGTTGCGATAGATCTCGTGGAAACACACAATGTCCGTTAGTGCAAAAGACTGACGAGAAGCCCCAGTACCGATTACTCGTTTCATTGCTAATCCGATTTCAGCTACCTCCAGACCGAAAACTCCTTAACGCTACTCTATTGGTTTCTCTCGATAATCTCGTTACCTCCATTAGACAGACTTAGGAACCTCGTATCGTTTGCATGTAGAAAATGTCACCTGAAGAAGAACATCGTAACCATGGTAATTGTACGAACAAAAGGATCAAGTAAGAACTTGAGCAAATAATTTGGTCTGTTTCTATTAATCATAGATCGTAACTGTCTGAAAAATGCTTACAAGACCGTTGAAACCTCGTCGTAAAATCCGCAAGCGCCGCAGCTAGTAGATACAACCCTTTTGAGTCAGACGAGTCGAAGCATCCGCCGACTCCTCCGCGACAACCGTGCGGCAGTGTGAGTGGGTGGGTAGGTGGAGTGCGCCTCGCAGGGGACAAAACTCACCCTAAGAAGCTTCTAAGAACGCCAAGGCGGTGGTGACGCTCTGGTGGGGAATAAAAGTACCCGCATGCGCAAACTCCTGAAAAACTGCGGCCCGCCTCCGGCGCCGCCTCTATCGTCTCTGACGTCCCTCCGACCCCCCTCGAGCCCCTCATCCACGGAGGGCCCCGAGATCTCTTCCACCCCTGCACCCCTTCGCCCCTCATAAGACGTCGTCCGGAACGATCCGCGACCTTTTTCGAGAATTGCCCCCCGGGTAACATGTGCTAACCGTGTGTGATTACCTTCGCTCTACAACGCGGACGCACCCGCGCTATCCGCACTCCCCGTTAGGTCGCCCCGCTATCACCGCTTTATCACCCTCTCGTCGACTGCCTTTTTTGCGCCCGCGAAAATCAAAGTGCCGCGGCAACGAAAAAGATCGTGACTAACAAGCGTGACTCTCTCTTCAGTAAACGAGTGCATATTGCGTGGTACAAGTGGAGAATCATCGAGAAGTGACCCTGTCCGAAATTCACGACGTAGTTTTTCACGAGCGATCTCAATCAGTGATTAAATATCAGTGTTGTGGGAATATAATTATTTATTTAAAACAAAAAAGATAAAATTTGTATGTGTGTGAGAACAATGTTTCAATACTTGACATACTCTTTATGTCGATCTTTTATAACGATATCAATCCATCACAATTTATATATTTGACATTTTTAATAATTTTCATATCGGAAAACTGTAAACCAAAAATGAAGATAATTTTGAAAAATATATAAGTTTTAATTATTAAAATATGTTTGTCAATAGCTTAAATTGTCCTCCAAGGCATCAATATTTTTTTTAACTCGTAATCATTTATCGAAATCATCTCGAATTTTGGTGAAACCGATTATCTATTAACGTAACTTTTTGCTGGTCCTTTTTTTCAACAATGCATAAGCTCCAATTATTCCTTGCTAGGCAACACGTCATCGACAAATCCTGCCGATCTAATTGGTCGCCAGCAGATAATTGTTCGGCATCGATAATTGGTCCAATTAATTTGAACGGAAAAGTGCGTCGATAATCGTTGTGCATTCATCGATTCACCGATTATGTGAACCGTGTCGTATGCGGGTTATAGAATATCGTTACCGTCGAAAGGACATCGGCGAAAAAAATAGCCGAAACGCAAACAGAAACCAATCGTTTTGGCTGCGCGTGGTAGTGAAGTTATTGAGTTTTTATTTTGTTGCTGTTCACATCGTATGATTACAATGCTCGTCAACAGATATTGGAAGACTATTAGATTTTAAGCGCATATAAAATAAAATAAATATAATACCATATACATTTTTTTATAAAGATATAATAGTTTATAACAATTTCGCTATCATCGAGGATATAAAAGATATAAAATAATCTAATATCAGCATCGGTTCTTTCTTTTAAATAAGCGGTATATTTATTAAAAGTCATATTTAGAAAAAGCAATTTAATATTGCGACTTGCCTAAATATAATTTTTCTTTTCTAATTGTGGTTTCCAGATTATGTACAAAATCTGCAACACGTAATATCGCGCGTTATGTTCGACTTTTTAACACTATTTGTCTGCCAACGGTTAAATTGCCCTGGAGTTTTCTTGGCATACCAATCGCATTCTCTCTCACTACATTCTCACCCTAACTCGTTTCTTCTACGAGACAAAAATTTTTTAATGTCACGCAATTCCGAAACATTTTTTGACATCCTCGAGGAATGAAATAATTTTTCGTCTTTTTCTAACATCTCTTTCAATTCGAAGTAGGATATATGTACATAGAGCAAGTAGAATATACATAATGCAACATTCGCAATTGGAATTCACTTTTAATTTTGTACTTGGGGACATAGCTATTTGACTGTAAAATAAATAAACTATACTTTTCAGTGTCACATCTTTTGTAAATTTTTGTATCATGTACAGTAATTTAAAAACAAAATTAAACACTTGACACAAGACCTTCCGTCATTAACAATATCGTTCACGAAATAATAATAAAATACATACACCAAGGTCCAGAATGCTAGCGGATGTAATTGAAAGGGGACATTATTGCACAGTGAAAGAACCTACGCATGACGAAATGCATCTCGGAAGGTCTGCATTTAGGGACGCGGAGGCGTCGCATTGTTCCTCGTAGGGGCGCAGGATTATATAGGGGGCTCGTCTCGTTTAGGGGTTCTCGGCTTGGTACAGATACGTCATGATCGATAGTCTCGTGTTGTCTCTCGAAAGAGTGGCGTGTTACAATTCGTGCGTCGCGTTCCATTTTATTCGGTAATCTACAATCCATCCCTCAAATTCCGTCTGCCGCCTCTTACATGACAAAATTACTCTCATAATGTAAGATTAATGATTTGAAATTTAACATATGTTCTCCGTAATAATAATAATGTAAAAAGAATATATATATATATTATATATATATATATAGAAAAAATATCATATTAGAAGTTTCGTAAAGGCAATACTTGTATCGCGTTTATATTTTTGCGTCTAACGAGTCGTATTCTGATGCTATTTTACGCGTATAAAATTTACGTGATAAAAGATACATTTTACCATAACTTGTGTCATGTTTCTTCATTTGGTCTGCTGAATCTGGGGATGACTACTTGGGCGTTACAACGTGTGTCTCTCTCTCTCTTTCTTTCTGACTGGCGGCGTTCGTCTTCGACTCCGTTCCTGGCCCACACTCTCCGAGAACCCCCAAGCGTCGCGCAACCCCCGTATTTCTCGGTGCTAAACGCAACTACACAAGGGGCCTTTCTGCAGTCTTTGTTTTCCCTTTCTTCCCAGTGTCGTTTCGCAGTTTCGCGCGGGGTGATCGTTGAACGACGGAAGCAGGAAGAAATCAACCGAGAAGGGTAAAAAGCCGACCGACAGACAAGAGAGCGCGCGAGAGGAGCATTAAAAATATTTTCTACTTCTGACAAATGGATCTTCAAATATACAAAATTAATAATTAATAATCTTTATTCGATATCTGACAGTTATGGATAATCAAATCACTCTAATGAGGAAGATTGAAAGAAAAAAAAAAGAAATTACACAGTTTTCTTTTCGCGGATATTGTTACGTTAATATTAAATAAAAGTTTTAATATTGGAATCGTCACGCGCGACATAGTGATCAAATCAAATTTGTAAATAATTAAAATAACGACACTTGTATATAGTTAAAATAGTGACACTAAAACATGATGGTGTTTAAAGTGTAATTGCAACGCTTCATAAATACCAAATAAAATTGTCACAATACAGAACTGGTGATGTGTTTCACACAACGTACGTACGAGAAAAATATTTTTCTCGCATGTTATTGTTGTTGAATGGTAAAGTGAAATAATTTGCTACGTAGCGCTATCGTGCACCGTGTTTGGATCAGCATCCTCCAAGACGTTGTCTATCCGTGCTCCACGCAGATGACTCACGACTGTGTATAGTTAAAATCATCGACTAGAGTGTCAATCTGGGCACCGCAATCATGCGGCGCGGTGATACGCGGTGCCGAGATTCATCTCCGGAAATTCATCTCCCCCTGAACATCCCGCGAATCCCCCGTCGTCCGGTGCAACGACGACGGAGTCCGGAAGACAGCGCGAGGTTTGAGTAGTCCGCGAGTCGTCATCGGCGGGAGTATCGTCAGGAACGCAGCCGGCAGTCCTGCGGGAGGTTGTGCGCGCAGCAGTGAAGGGACAAAGAGAGAAAAAGGGAGCCGGAGTGCCAGGGAGAGAGAGAGAGAGAGAGGTGGCGAGATTTTTCCCCACCGCTTGGAAAAACCAGCCCCCCACCAGCCGGGTACCGTGGGGGCAGGCGGCGGTGGCGGCGGCGTGGAAGAGACGCGCGGCGGGCTGCGGGGCGACGAAAAGAGGGGGCGAGGAGGGTTACCCAGGGTGGTCTCGGTGGTGGCTGGGGGCGGCAGCCTCAAAAATACACCGCAACCACACCGCGCGGCTCCACCGCAGAAGCCGCCATCTTCCACCGCCGAACCGAAACGAGACCGCGCGAGTTAAACACCCTATCCTACTTCCTCCGAGTAGAAGCTGCCCTGCCACCCGCTGAAGCAACGGCCAGGTGAAGAATCACCATCGCCACGACGGCGACTGACTCTGACGGCGAAGGACATTCGGGATATCCTGCGAACCTCCAAGCGGAAAAATCTCGGATCGGTGCAGTTGACGTGCGCGAATCAAGATATACCGCGGGATCGTGATCGTCGCCGAGATTGCAAGTCCAAGTTCCAACTGTTGTCAGTGTTCACCAATTTCAATCGTTATTTCATACGTAGAGATGATACGTTTACGTGATTGATCAAGACTTCGATCGACGAGAGAGATACACGTGACGTGCGCGGTCCTCGCTAAAGTTCGGCGAAACTTGGCGCGGTGAGCGCCACGTACGGAAACATATGGTTCGATTTGAAAAAGCTTTTTGGTATATATCCTAATATGCAATTTTAGTGAAAGAAAGGCAAGTGCGTGACCACGATGCCATCAGTTATAAGGATCACCGGTGCGAAACAGTGTTTTAGACACGCGCGATAAGAAACCCATCTCTCTGTGAGTCTGTTTCCGAAACTGACTTTCGAATCAACAATCAGATTTAAGTGTTTCGAACAGTCGCGAGTGCTCCTTCGATAAGAAGACGGAAGGCTGAGGATTCGATCAAAGAATCGAGGATACACGGAAAACAAGGGTCGTAGAGATTGCCGACGATTTCAATAAAACGAATTTTCTCCGCGAGTTGGCAATCGAGACGAAGAAGAATTTGCAAACGGATGCCCTTGCCTCCGCCTCGCAGCAAGATAATGAAATAAGGATCAAAGAAACCGAGGGCCCGCGAGGGAAAGCCCGAAAAAGCCGCCGAAGAGTCGCGCGTGCCTCTCGATTCCGAAGAAAACAAATCCAATTCTCGCCGGAGGAAGATATCTACGTACATTCGTAATGTGTTCCTCGCCATTGGTGAGATCCACTTGTGCTTTCAAGATTCTTAAACCGCTGTCGAGTGGACTCGATGTATCGACTGATCGCGCATGTCGAATATAACAATCAATTCTACCGACAAAACTTGAGTTCGCGGAATAAGGGATTGTAACTACTTAATCAAATATATCACAAACGCAGACGTATCATCAAAGGACCAAGAATCATATCGAAATTGATAGCAAGAATCTCCTCGCGGATCACGTGTACAGATATTTCATCTAAAATTCGGAAGAGACAAGACGTAAACAATTGAGCAGGCGAAATCATTCGGAGAGCTCGCAGGGCAAGGTGACATCTCGATCGAGAGAACGAATGATATCGTTCTCATGACGAACCCTTCGCGAGATGCTCGACCCGAGGATCGGCCTCCCGGCCTAGATTATCCTGATCCTAGATCAGTACGGGGCAGTCATCAGGTGCATCAAGCAGTGAGCCAGATCGGCGGGCCCAGAATACGGAGGACTCGGGCTTCGTCCTCGAGGAGAAGAATGCACCTGGCCAACGAGGTTCCTCCTCAAGGTTCTGCCGGCGGAAACCATCTCCCCGATTATGCTCTCACCGCCGATTTGCTTGCCGAGAGGACTTTGGATGGACTCCTCGCCGAGCATCCTGGCGAACTTATTCGCACAGGTAAAAAATTATATTTAAAAACAACATTTCTATGACATAAAAGTAATTGTACCATACGCAGTTATTAGCTATTTGTTATCGTATTTCTATCATAATATAATGTACAAAAGAAGTAAAGATAAAAAATTTAATAGAAATGTAACTTTAACTTTTTCAGAAAACTATATAAAAATGTTTCTTTTTTTTTTAAATAATCCCAAGTTTCGGAAAATAATGTTCCAATATACGAAATATAAATCCAATGATACTGTACAATTGGTTAACAGCTTAATTTTATGTTAATATAAGGTTCCCCACACGTGGTGTGCACGGTATTGCCGTCACATTGGAGATCGAACAAGACCCTTCCGGTAGCCTTCAAAGTAGTAGCCCTCGGCGAGGTCGGAGACGGTACCCTCGTGACCGTTCGCGCTGGGAACGATGAGAATTGTTGCGCGGAACTACGAAATTCTACTGCTCTAATGAAAAACCAGGTCGCCAAATTCAATGATCTTAGGTTCGTCGGCCGAAGTGGTAGAGGTAAGTCTTACAAACTAGGTTTCTTTACATAACAATATAAATCGTTATTATTAATGCAACCCCCAATTTACATAATTACTCTTGAAATATTTATGTGACAAAACACTAGAGAATATTATATAATTCCGTTCTCTTATTCTCAACATCTTTGTACATTTGTTTTCTAAAAATAACTCTTATCGATTGACGTGGAACACTTGATCGGTTTTCTGCTGGTTCACCTTCTTTTCCGATCTTAAATCATTCAGACCTTGCTACATTAAGGTGGTGCCCCGACTGATGGCCTCGTTTTTCCTGTGTCGAAAGCCAAGCAGGGGCCACCACCACCTGGCCCCTCGTTCCATCCTCATTTTTAATTCACGCGACAAATATCGTGACCCGGTATCTCCTCACGACTGCCGCCCACTCCGTGCCAAGCTAGGGTAAGAGAGCGCACGCGGAGATTTTTTAATTCCCGGCTCCGCGTTTCAATAATTCAACGTTTCTTTCGTCCGAGAAAGCGGAACGCAGGGCGACGAGGGGAGAAAAAAATTGGGGTCCGAGGTCTCTGAATAATGCTCCCTAATAATCGCAGCCATTACGGACGGTTAATGCAAACGTTCGCTCCTTGAAGAGGAGCTGAAGTAGCGAGAGGGGGAAGAAGCGGCACGAGAGAACCTAGATCGCAGCAGGAAAGGAGCAAACTTTCCAACATCCTTTTTTTCTCCCTCGTCTCTCCTTTTTCCGCGTATAGGAGTCGAGGTAGAGAATCGGAAGATACGAATAACGAGGCGTCCTTTAATTCCTTTAATTCGACCGAGTTGCACCACCGTTCTTTTCGTCCGCCTTCTCCCGTCGCTCTCCCTTTTCTCGTCTTTTTCCGACGACGTCGAACTTTCGAGAGAGCAGTCACGGGCGTACCCGGTTAACGAGGGGGTGGTCGACTTGTTTATGGCAAATTGGAAAAGGAAATTGCGGGGTTTGCAATATCGACGGGTTCCGCGCTACTTTTGTCCGACGGTAGACCCTAAACGGCGCTCTTCTTCTTCCCATCAACTTATTTTAGGGTGCGCAATCGTAAATTGTTATCATCTGTTGTCGTATTTTTCCCCCGAGTATTTATCTATTTGCGAACGATATCGACTTGGAATCATCGTCTAAACGACGCAGCGGCATTCGGATACCGTTGGTCCGCATTGGCCTCTTCCGCCCTAAAAATGGAGAGATCCAAGATACTCGTTATAGAACAATGGAGACCAGGAAATGGTTCCCAGAATTTTTTAGCGGGACTCGCGAATGAAGATATCGCGGATATATAGGAAATTGTGGGATGGGACGGCGAAGCGCGAGCGAGAGAAGGACGCAGCACGAGGGGGTTGGACGGAGGTAGAGTGGTTGGCTGTAAGCGGCTTTGGTTTCCATGGCAGTAAGCCCTCATTACTGTATTACGGGCAGCCCCTAACTACCGCCGGTATGCAACGATTTGCCTCCAGATTCCCTATATGAAAGTGATGCAAGATCGTTCCGCGCGCGTATCGCGATTGCCGCCGGATTTTTCTCTCCGCACATCCGACGCCAGGAAATTTCCGCGTTGCGATAAATTTGGAATCCCGTCCATCGGTGATGAAAATTACGCGACAAATGCAACGAAAGAAAAGAAAATTGGGGAGAAAGGGGGGGGCGTGAAAATGGAGCGCGTGAAGACCAACTATGGGGACGATGAACGTTATTATCTGCGAAAGAAAGGGCAAACAGATCTCGTTGAATAAATCAAAAATTTATGATGTTTGTTAGCGAGTTGCGCATATCGCTGCATAATACCACAACGAGACGAGGAGCCCCGGAGTGCATTTTATATACAGATTCCTCACGCGTTCCACTCGCTTTTTTGCCTTCGTTGTTTTGCACGCATCCCGTGCTCGCGCACTACCGACTTTTTCGGCTGCAAATATTTGTCTCATGCTCGCCCGCGGGCTTTGTCAGGCCAATTTAATATTGCGAATGCGGACGTAGAGAATTGATCGTGGTCGAAATGCGTGACGACGTTGATAGGGTGGCGGCCGAAATCCACGCGGTGCGAAGAAAACGAAGAGCAGCGCTTATCTTGCGTCGGTGCAAAATTGGCAGGCGTATCCGCCGGAAAGCAGATTAGTTGAAATTTTTATTTTCTCAACTCTCAACTTGTACGGCGGAACGAAGCTCGTCGAATCTTGAAAATATTTCCAAACGCAGAATTCTACCTAAAAACAATAATTGTCTACCTAAGGATAATTTCTCGACGAGGTACAGGAACCTGTCCGGTTCCTCTCGCAGACGCTATAGTTGATTGTTTCCCGAGAAACGCTCATTTTCTCGCCACGGATAAACACGGATGAGGTTGAACGCGAGAAAAACTTGGACGCGTTCAGCCCGACCAAGTTTTTTCCCGACTCGCCGATTCGCTCCGACCCTTTTTAATCGACTATAATCGCTTTCATTCGGTCTTACGCGCTGACCCAAAAGAGAGACCTCTTCTAGCGCGATGTGTGCGGCTAGCGAGTGTAACAACTACGGTCAGGGGTTACCGGGGTGACGGCGGAATATTATCATACCGGCGCAGGGGCGTATATCACTCGGCCACCCCTTTCGCTCCCGACAGGGATTAGCGTCAACCTCCGACTGCTAGGAGTCACGGGCCGTACGGAGACGCGGCTATATATATACGTGTTTCTCTGCGATGCATTGGTGTTGGGACGCGGATGAGCGGAGAACGCGGCGCGGCGCGGCGCGGCGCGACGGGAGAGGGTGGCGACGGGCGTAAAAACGACGGGCATAAATACCGGAGTTACCTGTGTTTTATGACGGTCCGGCCGAGGTATAGGCAGGAAGAGAGCGCGAGAATCCGAGGGAAAGCTCCGACTATCGACAGCCAGATCCTGACCGATGTCCTGGCGCAATGGATCCCCGTCTCGCCCGTAGAGCCGCCTCCGCTCTCCGTTCTCTCACTTTTTCCTCTCTTTTCCACCCCCCTCGTGGAAGGAGGACTCGTTTTAGATCGCCACCGCATGGCAAGCGTTGCAACATAGAGTCCGAGTCTGCCGCTGTCACGAGTGCAGATCCGAATCTTCGATATCTCCTCTATGAGTCGAAAGAAAAACGCGTGGTTCGATTATCAACGCTTTGCTCATTACTATCGCACTATACAGAGTTCTTCTAAGTTGCTGTGTTAAACGAAATAATATGCTTTCAGCCGATTAAAACGATGAGCGAACAATTCTTATTTTTTCTAGGGCGGTACAAAATTCTTTCGCGAGATAACGGAACTGCTGCGAAAAGTTACTCGCTAAGAAGCTGCCGCGAGGAGTTTCGTGCGAGACGAAAATGATTTAATAAGTCGTAAAGGTCCGTCGCCGTTGAGAAGGGTCGACGTCCGTTTTCATCGACCTTTTAAAATAGCGGATCTCTGTTCGGTCGACCGAACAGCTGTTGCAATCATTTGCCCCTGCATCGGCAATACTTTGCTTTGAAGCGTGCCCGCTCCGCTAAAAAGTTCCCCTCGATTTACTAATCTCCCGAATTAAAACGGGCCACATGCACTTCATTGGTAACGCCGATAAAAAAAATCTGCTGAATAACGAAAACGTCTGTTTTCAGAAAATAAAAATTAATCGAGTCAAATAATTGTATGGTTTCATTTAGATTTCTAAGGGATTTACTTGAAGCTTTAACGTTAACGTCGCAAAATAAATTCGCTTTGGAAATACGACAATTAACTTCCGGTGACGACGACGAACAACTCCCTGAAGAGATGCGACTTTCAACGTTAGAAGATATTAGCGTTTTCGAGAACCCGAATACGCCAGTTAAATCTGCGAGAGTGGTTGGCGAATCTCGCCGGCGACCACCTCGCGGCGACGTTTTTTGCCAATTAAAAATTAAAAAATCCATCCCTCGGTCAAGTAAGGGATCGCGGAAGGGACTGCGAGGGCGCGAGAGGGGGTCGAGGAACGCACGGTCCTATGGCGGATGACTGCGCCGAGATTTTCTACCGATTAAACATTATTTTCCGCTCTGGTCTGTAGTATGAGTCGCGTACGTACGTACATATCCGTTTCTTTCACATATATTAATTCCACGTTTCCCTACTTTATTTTCTCGATATTTTTCGCTCCTCATTCCGTCGCGCCAACAGCAAGGCAGGCTTTTGCAAACGCTTCAATGACCGCTCGCCCGGTCGCGCCGTCGCATCTAAAAGTCGTTATGCTCGACGTTGCGATTATTGCCAGTGAGAATTGATCCTCGCGGAAATTTATTCTGCGAGCAAGATTCCGGCGAAATCATTGTAAAACAATCGCCAAGTGTGTTCGTGCAACGCCGCTGTTTTCCCGTAGTCGATGATTTCTTTTCAACAACGCCATATAAGTTATTGATAATTGTAATTAATTTTACAATAACCAATTTTTCACCCTAGTCCCGAACGTTTAAGGGTTTAAGTGAACGCGCGTGTGAGATAAAGATAAAAAAGGATTTCCTGTCAAACACGTCACGGCGGCACACACTCAGCCTCGTTTACCATGATTCGGGTAGTCAAAACGTCAGAATCTTAAAACACGACAAACACTCCGAAATAACGATCCGAGTAACCCTCGCACTCGCACTCGCACTCGCCGGCAAACAGGGGAGTTTTTAACACTGCATGATCCCTGAGTAAACTTAGGGCTGAACGCCAGCGTTCTCGTGTCTTCTAGCACAATTCTTGCCGTGTAAGTGGACGTGAGCCAACCTTGCCCGAATTAATTTCTCAGCCGATTCGTTTAAGCTAAATCGTCGCGAGGACATCCGAGAACATGGTGTGTTCTTGTAAAAAAAAATTGGACGCGTCTCGGCTAAGATAATCAATCGTCTCGTGCATCTTTCCTTCCGACACAAATTTACAATCTCTGGATTTGAGAAATGCTAATACAGGATATCGCCGCGCAAAAATAGCGAGCCCTTCAGTAATCTTCCGAAAAAGTCCAGTATGACGAAAAATTCTACAGCCCACTCGGACATCATAATCTTTATGGATCCTCTCAATCGCGTCTGCGACCAGGCAATATTTTGTTGGATAAAAGTGACGTACGATGCGTGTGGATTAGTAATTTTTTCAAACTTGTTTGCGAGTACAAAGGATGCTGGAATGAGTAAAATCCTCAGCGTGCATAAAGAAGCGCTTAAAGCAGGAGAGCGGCGAAAAAAAGTTGTACAGTGTTTCCCAATCTTGTCAATCGCGTGGTAAATCAGAATCAATTTCGTTGCGATCGGATTAAAGCTTTCGAAGAACGAGAAAGCTATTTTTACGTGCAATTGGCCACCATGAGTCATTCGTGTACAAGCGATGAATTAGAATCTCGCTAGATGTAGATAAGTCGGAGGAGAGAGGGGGAGAGCTGCTGTACACCCCGAAGGGTAGATCGTTCTTCCAGCGAGTTACACATAATGCCTCATAAACACCCTCAAAATGCCTGCCATCACCCCTGATTCGTATTGCCGCCGCCCTCTCGCGCCTGACACCACGTTGGCAATAAACTTCGGTCTCGTTAACTCTCAGCCACGAAATCTCTCCAACGAAACCTTTCACCGTTTCCATTGAGAGACACGAGACTTGATATGTCGTTTTCATACTAAAGATGTGTATTATTTAATTAACTTTGTAAACGAGGCCGAGTGTGTACCGCCGTGGCACGTTTGAAAGAAAATTCTTTTTCATCTTTGCCTCGCACGCGTATCCATTTATATCTTTATCGCGCCTGACACCACGTTGGCAATAAACTTCGGTCTCGTTAACCCTCAGCCACAAAATCTGTCCAACGAAATCTTTCTCCATTGAGAGACTTGATGTGTCGTTCTTACATAAAAAATGTGTTTTGTTTACGTACGTACTAATTACTTGAAAAATAATTTTTTCGAAAAAGCGATACTAAACAAAGGGATCGTCCAATATCTTGATACGAAAGAAAATACGAGAAAATCAGTCCCGATAGGATATTTTTGGATAGACATCGCGAAACAACGCGGTGCGAAAATAGCGGCCAATCACCGCGCGACGCAAAAGGGAACGCGCTGGAAATGGCACGACTCCCTTGGCGAAGTTAAAGTCCGGTATTTCGCTCGGCGACGGGCGGTAAGCCGGTTAAATGTCGTGGTTCACCGTAAAAACGCGGTCGTTTACCGGGGGCCAGCCGCGCCACCATAAAATAAAACTACCCAACCACGCGCGTGTACATACCGGCCGCACTTGGCGACGCCATTATAAGCTGTATAACTTTATTGTCGCGGAGCGCGGAAAAGCGCGTAAATGCCCCCGCTTTGCTCTGCATATATCTCGTCCGCTGCTATTTTCTTCTTTCGGTATCGCGACGCGACGCGACGAGATGGCTGGCCGCCCTCGCGTTTTATTTCGCGTACGCGCGATTACCGGGACCGAGTTCGATGCGTCGAACGCGTGACGAATTCCGTGCGACGCGCGCGTCATCGATTGAAATATTTGTGCCGAAAACATCGAAATTTAGTAAACGGCCCGGCCAGTTACGAGTCGCGCTTCATCTGCGCGTTTGCCAATATTGTTCCAGGTCATCGACGGACTTGGAGAACGAAAAACGCTAACGTGCGAAAAAACATATTAACGCGCCAGATATTCAGATTATAAAAATCAGAATCTGTATTTCGATGTATCGTAGTCCCGCAACCGATGCAAAAATATAATCAAGATAAATATATCGTTGGGAAAAATTAAGAGACAGGCTCCAAAATTATTGACATAATAACAATAACATTACAAAGATCACAAGAAAGTGCAATTCCTACTGTGTTGCAAACGTGTAGATTTTGTTGAGAGCAACGTTTCAAGATCGGGCAAATTATCGTCGCAAAATTTCGAAGGGGAGGATATATCTCTCTATCGAACTAGCGAATGTTGTTGAAAGATAAACCGACGAAATCGCGCGTGATGGGAGACTGCGTATTTTAGAGGGTCACGTTTAGCGCCGGCGACATTAACATATTTCAGCCTATACGAGAACAAACATCGACGCAGTGGCGTCACTCGTTCACCCCTTACTTCCGGCACATTTGTGTTTTGTTTCCAGCGAGCGCACCGCGGGCGCATTGCCGTTTCACTCGTGCATGCTGTCGAGCACATATCCTTCGCGATCGCAACGGATTAAATCTGCCAAGAAATTTCAATCCAATCAATCGCGATGGCTACAATCATTCAGAGTTCGATTAACACAAGTGGCAGTTATCATTACGTGAACGCGCAGAAAATGTATTCGTTTCACTTGGACGTGAACTCTTGATAGAATATTCGGTTAAACAATGTGGAACATAAGTCGCGAAAGCGAATGCAACTCATGAGATTGTGCGTGCTGAGAATATTTCTTTTCGTGGTCGACCAATTGGATATGAATAATAGAGCCTAACCGAGAGGCGAACCAAGGAGCGCGGAATCAACCGTGTCTTTATGGTTTTTGATCTGGCAACGGAGCCAAAGCACGATGTGCTATATCGTCCCGTTGGGAAAAACTCGTCTCTCATTTTACCGCCAGGAGATAATTCTTTCTCATCTCCCAACATCTCCGTGCTCATTTTTGTTTCAGGGAAAAGCTTCACCCTGACGATCATGCTGCAGACATCGCCGCCGCAAGTGGCCACCTTGTCGAAGGCGATCAAGGTGACCGTGGACGGTCCAAGGGAGCCGCGATCAAAGACAAGTGAGTACAACGTTATCTACCGAAGATAATAACTTGTTACTCCAGCTATGTCTGTCTATGTGTGTGGGGGGGAGGGGAATTAATTAAGGGTCCTAATTAACGAGACAAACCGACTTTATTATTCGGCGGGAAAGATGTACGGTCGCGATTTATTATGAGTCGCACGACGATAATTCATGAATTCATCCCACGTTGTAGGACACCAGGCCTTTCATCCCTTTCACTTCGGACCTCGTCCATTCCCCTTCGGACATCCGCAGGACCCGTTGGGATTCAAACTGTCGGGTAAGTCGGTACTCTCTAATCAAAGACACACGCGCGGCCTGCATCATCTTCGTCGCGACGAATTTGCGCGGATACCTGGTTCCGGTGAGGCTCACCTTCAGCCTCTCGGCACGTCTCTCCCCGTCGATAGATAACTAAGTTTACAACCCCGTGCCGTGCGCCTCCCGAGAGGAGAGCAACTGCGGCAACTTCGGCGGGCCAGGGTCGACGCCCTCTTCTCGCGCGCTAGCTTCGTGGCTGCGAAGGGTGTCAAAATTGAGCGTCGGCAGGCACCGACTCAAAATTGAGTTTTGCCACCGGCCTCTAAGTGAAGAAGACTCTGATTAAGCCCCGGGCGCGAACTCTGCCTTTTCGTTTCAACGAAGCCGCTCGGTCCCCGCTTACGGAGAAGTCACGAATAAACTTTGGCTCCCTTAACTTTGCCATCGAGTGGCTTACGACGCGGTAAAATACCTTTCCAACTTAAACGATCAAGTTGGATCAAGTTTTTTTTTAAATTTTCAACATCACAATTTTTTCATATCTGCAGTGCTATTCGCAAAAAATGTTTAATAAATACCAAACATTTCTCTAAGTAAATTACGAAATACTGCAGCGAAATATAGTTTTCATATAGTGTGTAATCAATCAGTCTTCTTCTTTGGGACGATAATGCGTTCGCTGTAATATAAATGATGGTTTAAACGATTTCACCGTCGCCAACGTTTTCGAAAAAGTTTTCAGGTATCCGGCCGGTTCGACAGGACAGTCGGGTGGCACGAATTCCATTGAAACTCGTTCGAAGCTCCAAATTTTGATGGGACTAGTCCGGAGCAGTGAGGGTCGGGTACTGATACTGGTGCACCGACAGTGTATTGTTTCGGCATGATAAGCGGCTTAACGGAGCTTCGCTCCCTCCTATCCCCGAGGCGTACTACGGGATGGCAGTCCTGCCGTCGATTTCTCGCTGCTACCCCCGCCCAACCCCCGCAACCCCAGCCTGCTCAATCAAGAATCAGCCACTGCCGCGCCCGGTAGTATGCCGGAGCTTTTCTTCTCTTCGCGTCTCTTGCCATCGAGATTCGGTCCGCGGATTGTTCTAACATGATTGCTCGACAAATCACTGGCACCTGGACTAAATAATCTCGAAAATCGTGCAACATTTTTTAAATAAATCTCGAAAGCCAATAGGGTATTAAAAAAGGAAAAATCACGTTATAAAAGTTTCAAGCTTCTTTGGCATGAGCCAGAGTTCTCTTTGTTAAAAAATATAAATTCATTAGAGACACAGTGCAAATCATTGACGTATGGTTTTAGCACGCCGCCGGATTAATTGTATTCGCACAATTGGGTCACCTACATTGTTTCGGCTAGGGTGCAAACGGCACTCAACGAATATCGATCGGTTTATTTCGAGTGATGTGCTTGCGAGTTTTTTCAACCCTTTCGCTCAGGGTTCGCCAGTCGGCTCATAGGTTGCGCCTCCATCCAGTCCAGCAGAGGGTCGGTCAGTCGAGCACCTTTCAAACTTTCAAAGCTGCCCATCCGCTGGATATCGCTGACTAGGTAAGGGTGTTCAAGAGGTGGTTTATTAGATATCTACGCCAGGAGGGTTGATAAGGAGAAAGGGAAGAGTACTATCGAGGGTGTGAGACGAGTGGCTGGCCGTGCAGGGTTGTTAAGGTGCCCATTGAGGTGTAACTAGGGGGATGTTATTAAATTTCGTTCGGGCCTACCTCGACAGCAGGGACGAATTTTATGATCTCCCTAAGGGTTTCGTGAGAACACCGAGGTCCGACGGACGGGCCAATGCGCCTTTTCTTCCTTCCGATCTCCGATATCGTTTCCAATCTCGTCTTTTTCATCAATCTCAATATGTCGAAATGATATGTTACTCACTTTTTCGACGTAATTAATTTTATATTTCACAAGTATCCTTGTCTTGCTTAGGAGCAATGCAATTTTCTTCGACAGTCCACAATATTTTCTCCTTGTTTTATCTCTAAACGTCACTTGCATCAATCACAATAGACGCGTAAAGTATTCAAAAACATTTAAAAAATCTAAGATTCCAAAAAGCCGAAAGGGGAAAAGTGAACTGCTTTCGACTTTTTCGCTACGACAATATTTAAGAGACTCGCAACACATTCAGGGGCGATCGCTAGCAAGTTTAGGGAAAATTAATGTATCCGGCGACAGATACCACACGGCAGATCGTCGCTGAGATTGTCCACGAACGAAAACACCGCGATCGCGCACGTCCCGGGAGGCCGTGCTCATCGTCTTTGTCAGTCTGGCTAAGGGGATGAAAAATCGCGAGGTGCCAAGATTCGAGTTAACAAGAACAGCTCGTGCAGCCCCAATCTGCCCTCCCTCTTTCCGCTCTCCCGTGTCAATTAACCGCCTACGAGGGAGAGGCAGGGTGGTAGAAAGGTTGAGGAGAGAACCGGAAAAATCGCGACCCCTGTTTCAATAAGGTGGCCTTTACCTCATTTGGGGGAGATTGTTAGGAACGCTCAGTTTAAAACTGTCGCTTCGTTTCTGGATCGTTTTGCAGTAAATTCGCGACTTTCTTTAAAGCGGATCTCCCTTTTTACCCAACATATAATTTGCGATCAACAATGTTAAGTATAAAAATTGTATTCTACATTCTATATACTGTGGAGACTCATTTTGTGCAAGCATATTGCTACTTTCGTAACACTACTGTTATAATTCTGAATGTGGAAATATCGTAAATCTTGTGGACTGTTAGATTAGCTAATCGCGACAAGTTCTATCGTGATCCGCTACAATCATCGGATTATATTTATCTTCCAAACTTGGATACCTGATTTACGATGCGACGCGTTTAAAGGGCTCTTTCACGTATGCGGAAAACCGTATGCGGCGGCAACCCTTCGGACGTACGATCCTTAAAGGGATCCTTTTTAAGGGTTGTTCCTGTCCACCCCCGTGTCGAATCACTGCGGATCCTTTAAATTCGCGTCACATTTCACCCCCTCAGTGCGTCTTGCAAGGGCGTCTCGGGGTGTTCCGTCTTTTAATCAGGTCCGGCGACCGGGACCTTTCTCTGGAAGCGACGGTAACTAATGACGCTTTCTCTCTAGCCTCAGCCTCATGTCTCGTCTCCTTTTCCATCGTTGAAAATCCACCGAGCCTAAGAGATAGAAATCTGATGGCGTTCCGCGATATATTCTCGGAATCGATTTATCTTCAATCTGAATCCGATTTCTCTTCGGTGTTCTACATTTATGTGGTGTCACGAGATATACGCAGTTATTAAATTTAATACTTACTTTTTTAAACGCTGTTAATAATAATTATTAAAACTTACGTATAGCAAAGTCTTAATTATTAAATAAAAGAAGTGTTACGCGGGTTAGTAAATTAATTTTTTGTAATTTTATATGTCATCAATTTTAAAACAATTGAATAAAATTACATAATTTTTAGCACTTCCGTTGAATCAATTATTACACAATTAATGATGACAATACAACATTAAAATTAAAACTATTTATATAATCATGAAACATAATAAATGGTAAGAATGAAAATTTATGCTTCGCTGAGCATTGCCAATTTCTTAAGAGATCCGTCATTTTTGCACTCTTTCTCAACTTCAAAGAGAAAATCTCGCGACAGTGGGATAAAGATGGAGTAGAATGGAGAGAGAGAGATAGCAATTTTCTCGTCCTTTCTCGAAATATCTCCTCGTAGAGCTTAGATCGGTGCCAGGGACCTTTCCAGGGTGGCATTTTAGGGGTTGCTGCGACGCGATAATGAGAACGGGCGCAAAGGGTGGGTGTGCAAAGACATCCAACCAGCAGTAGCTAGAGGATAGAACGCGGGGTGGAAAGAGGAACGACGAACGAGTCAGAGAGAGTAACAGAGAGGAAACGAAGAGGTTGTGGAAAGGGGAGGAGATCGAGCTCCGCAAGGGTTAACGCCTTAGCAGCAAGAAGGGCGTTTTTAACGCCTGTTTTGCATAGATTTGAATAGATAAGACAGACAGGAAAATACGCGAATTAATTTATTATGTATCTCAGAGTGGTGAGATCAAGGAGGTTTAAAGCGAAGAACTTGAAGGACGTCCCCCTTCGTTCCCAAGCTGCGTGACAATCTTCGAGTAATGTCTTTAAAGCATTTCGCAAGTTTCATCGCCGCTGCAGACTAATGCGTGAAAGCTAACGAGCTGTCGAACATTCGAAATAATTTATTAACTATAATCCACGCGATTTATTTTTAGACTCGGAAACCTGCTACGATATTAGAGTAATAATTGCGAGTGAAAAGTGTAGTCGAAATTCGAAATCGCCTCGCGCCAACGAGTTCTGTAATCGACGTGACCAAATTTAATTCACCCCGCGGGTGGCTCGGCGGCGAAACGTATATAAAGCTACGCTTAAAAGCTCATATTACACGTGACGTCACATTACCGCATCTCGGGAACGGCGCGACCAAAGTACGTAGCACATTTTGAGCACGCTGCTCGATAATACATCATCCCTTAAAGCCCCCGATGGAAGGCACACGCAAAGGCAACTAACCCTAGGGCCGTAACGTTTAAGCTTAACATTTCTCACCCCTTAAAGGGTAGCAGCGGCTCCTTGAACCCTTTCAGCCTCGCGTCTCCCGCGCTCTCTGTCTCCCTCGCTCTCACTCTTTCCCAGATCTCGCCGGGACCCACCCCTCATTAGTCTTCATTTGTTTTCGGAATTATCGCCCGCCAGCCGAACCCGACCCGGCACGCGAGTTCCGTCGAAGGAGGGTGCACGGCATTTTCGGGGTTTATTAAATTGAAAATATGTTACACCCGCTCCAAAAAGGATGCATGTTGCGTCGAATCTTTTTGCTTCGTGCAAAATTGACGAAGCTGCTGTCGGTAGAGAGAGAGAGAGAGAGAGATTGGGGGGGGGGGGGGAAATTACTAAGTAGTCTTTAAATATCAAACTTTTGTTGAAAAAAATTGGATATTGGGGAAGATTCCAATAATTGTAGAAAGCCCATCTTAATTTTTACAATTATTAAATCACGTCTCCTTCTATAATTTTGTCACACAATATTCCACAATTGCAATAATGATCCTTTATCATTGAGAAACTTTATCGATGATACTGACGAAAGATTATCTTTGAGATAACAATCTAAACTTGATTAACAGGAGAAACTGATTCGTTGTCAGTTATCGAGCAATGTTCGTACAATACGTTCGTCATCTAAGAATCCAGATGTCTGAAGAGCTTACCGAAGCGGTTCTTATTCATGCACCTGCCAACAGAAGCCGTCCGTTGGCCCCGTAAGCTCGGTGGCAGCGGTGCTTTCGCGCGTCTCTTATCGTTTTCTTAATCCCCCTCATAAAGCAGGAGGGCTACGAGCTCTCACACGGCTAGTCCGTTCAGTGTGCCACGCCGGTGTGGTAGAACGCGAGATAGCGGTGTCCTCCCTGGCGAGCGCGCGCGGCTTAAAGAGAGCTTAAAAATCACCCCTTCGACCCCTACCGAGCTTTTTCACGTCCCACCACCAGTCGCGGCGCGACTGGTGGGAGCGTACGGGCAACCAATAGGGCGATCTGCGTGTCTGGATGGTCACGCCCTCGTGCCAGTGACCGGACAATTCTCCCCGCTCCGCTGAAGCAAGTTTCCCCTGTTTGCCACCCCGCCGGAACTTCTACCCCCGTCGCACACGGTGGCTTCGCGGCAGCCTTCACGGAATTTTTAAACTGCCCCGCACAGATGACGGCATAATCTGTTATTGATCAAGGTCTTTCGAAAAACCGATACCACGTTGATGATCACGGTGCTTACTTCTTGCACCGTTCTTCTTGCACCGCGACGTGCCGAAAATCAATCATGTCACGTTACTTACTCATTATGTAAATTTTAAAAAAAATTGAAATTTCCTTTTCATAATGTTTCGATAACGTGGGTGATGTTTGGCAAACAAACACATTTTACGTGTAAAGAATGATAAAAATCAAGCTGCCGTTTTATAAATAAATATGCAGCAAGGGCAGTGATGCGACTTATGTCAGTTGGTTTGTCCAACCGATCACCCTTGAACGAACTTTTTGATGTCATAAATTTAATTGCATTCAAACACATGCTTGTGCGGCCGCGCGATATTGGCTATTATCGAAAAAAAGGTGATCGATCGTCTCTGCATTCTCTGTTGGATAAATTTAACTGTCCATCCACGTCAAAACCGCCTCTACGTCAAAGGGATGCGTTTCTACGACTCCAACTGTCAGTCGATCACCGTTTACCTGCCAAAAATTATACAACGCCACCGTGATGCCCAGAAATATGTTACGTCTTGTCACAAAACGATCGTATCAGTCACTTTCAGGTACTGTCGTCTACATTGCGTTACTCACTTCTGAAAAATCATATCTCTATTTCAAAATTCAACTTTCCATATAAACAACTGTGAGATATCTAACCTTTTTTAAATAATTTAAATGAATAGCCGTACATAAATAAATTACACATAAAGTATATGCTCTTTTCTTTGCAAATATTTCCAAACGATATAGAGATCACTGCGGCATGATGACAGCGGAGACGCTGAACAAACAGAATCCTTGGAAACGTGTAATCTGCATTTCTTTGATTGCACAGGGTTGCAACACCTGGGTCTGGAGCAAGGCGCGGGCCAGGGATGGGGCGGGTTACCCCGAGGATCTCTACCACCGCACTGTCTTCCACCGCCTCCCGGTCATCACCCGCACACACATCCACAGCCGGTTGGTGCATCGGCCTTCAACCCCTTCCATCATGCCATCGAACAGAGATCCCCGAGGCTGCCTGGACCTAACGCCGGTAAAGATACGAGATTCTCGCTACGAAGAATAAGAATTTCGGAGAAAATTTAACTCGAACGAGATAACACTTTATTTAAGTAACGTGGCGTTTTCTCTCAGGCGATTAATAGGAGTGTAATTTGATATGTCTATAAGAATCTTCGAGGAACGATTTGGGTCCTATCAGTGTGTCGGTGAGAGAAGTAACGCCGACAACGTCACCCGGGAACCCCGGGCCGGGCTTGTTGACGACAGCTTCTGTGACGGCACCGACGCCTCCTGCCGAGTCGACCACGACTACTACGACATCCAGTCCGTCTGGACATCACTCACACTTTCAAGGTAAAAGACATACGCACAACCCGAGATCTGTCCGATAAATCCGAAACTCTTGATACACGACTCGAAAAAAAAGTGACATTTTGTTTATAACACAGGTCTTCATCTGCTGGGTGCTACGGGATCCATCTTTGGATCGATATTCGCACCATTGCTACCACAGTCCTCTTGGCTCTACAATCCCCTGTATCACACGCAACAGTACATCCTGGAGCCGGAATGGCACGCTTTGGCCTTGAGAATGGCTCAACAGCGATTGCAGAGGCCGGATCAGGCCCGATTGGAGGAACTCAGGAAACTCAGAAGCAGCAGCGACAGTCCCGAGAGTAGTACGAAAGACGAAGAACGGAGAGGAGACGATCAAGGCGCTTTACGTCGATCCGGACTGGATAGTCCCGACGATAGTATCGAGGTGGACGATAAGAACGATCAAGATCTGAATAGAGACCGCATTAGAAGCGACGAGTCTATACCGGAACAAGATTCCCCGAGAATCTCGCCGATCAGAAGCGACCTGGAGGATGCCGCGTCCACAGACGCCACCTTCCAAGAAGCATCGATTCACCTACGGCAGAGCATAGAGAATTTAAACGACTCGGACCTCCAAATCGAACAGGAACAGATCACCCGTCGCGGTGACCTCACTGTAAAAATCCGTCTAGAGGGCACGGTCGATCTTAGCACGAAAAAGGGTCAAGACAAAGAAAACGTTGGTCAGGATCTGACGACGCGAAGAAAGGAGGATGGAATAGATGTCGAAAGAGAAGCCATCAGATCACGAAGAGAGAGAAGTCCTAAGCCTAGACAGGTGTGGAGACCTTATTAAGAATTTTAAGTCAGTATGTTTGTTCTGCGAGAATCCTTCAAGCGCGACGATTTTAACGAATTCGATGATCAAGACGAGAAACGGATTTGATTGTCGAAGGAGTCAAATTGAATTAAGTATGATCTAGGCAAATTTTATCACATGTTTTTTTTCAGAAGAAAACTTTCCTTCGCTGAAAAATCAGCGGAATATTGATTAATCCCGTCTCGATAATCTGAGACTAACCCCAAAAGTGGAACTTGCACGATGTTGTAGAGTAGTTTAGCAATGCTAAGCGATATATCATCATCGTCAAGTTGTCGAGAGATAAACGGAACATGCCCGTTGGATGCTCGAACATCTCGCGCAATGTAATGCGGTAATCGTCTGCTTGGAAATTAATTATCAGAACCTTCGGACGAACTTTTTTGTCGGAGTTATTTATCTATTCATATGCCCGTTGCGGTATCGTCTAAGAACTGTCATGGACTCGAGGACTAACCAGGGTTTACGTTCGCATATAGTATGTACATATATACAATGACGTCCGATTATTATATAAGTTAATGTTTCAAGTAAACGTTAAGCACACTACCCTCTTGTCATTCCAGAGTTAAGAATACTTCAACTTTCTAAATGTCTTATCGACTACACGAATATGTTATTGAAGCGCGCGCAACATAACGCGCGTACATATGTATCCTGATACTGAACAGAAAATTTCTTAAATTCTTAGAATCTACATTTCTCCGTCTGATCGTTTCTTTTACATCTGTGCAACATTGTCCATTTTAGAAAAGAAAATACTCGTGTGGCAGATGACATTTGGGGGGTTTTCTGGTACAAGCGAAATTACGAGCAGCCTACGTTGTAAATATCACTATATTAAAAATTTCAAATCCTGGCCGAGTTACATCCTTTATCAAGCCATTGTCTTCTTTTTATGAAACGTCATTTTCGAGGTGCAGAGATATCGATATCCACAGAGAAATGTCATTATATAATTATTTACATGGTCCACAAGTCGTTCTGACGACGCTGTATGTATGCGTGAGTACTGGCCTTAATCAAAATCATTTATTGTTTAAGTACACCATCTAATAAAATAATATCATCCGTTCCATGATATCGATTTACTCTCTTACGTGATCAGAGTAGATTGCGCCGAGGACACGTCGTGCAATCAAATTGGTAAGTGCAATATTAATTATACCTATATTATAACATTGTTATTATCTTTTCGCATCAAAACAATAATTATTTTCGAGACTCTCATATCCTCTTGGTATATGTATATACTATGCATATATACTTCAATAATCTTTCTTACTTGCGTTACTTCTTAAAAATGCATTACACTTGAAACGTTCTTATAGTGCTTCGCGATAAAGTGAACAAATTGCAATCGTGTATCGAACGATCCACGCGTGCAACCTAATCCGGTCGGACGAGATGCAGCAGATTCAATAATTCGCCGCGATTGCAATCGAGCGGGATGCACCGCACGCAAAAACGGGCAGGCTCGATATCCGCACGGTGAAAAGGTCCGCGTGATTGATGGAAAACAGACAAAGCACCCGTCGGCCCCGCGCGCTGACCAGCGTCCCTGAAATCGAGATAAAAAGACCGCAAAACAATTTTCTACATTATTTTCCGATGCGCGCCGGATCAAATGAGCAATAATGCCAACACGTCGCCTCCACGAATCTCTGTTTCACATTTTTCAGCAAGTCAATCCATCTCTGTCCTGCGATCACTCGTGACATCTTTATGTAACAATTATCTTTATTACGAGAGAGAGAGAGATATACAGCCTACCTCTATATATTTTTCTATTAAAAATATTTTTATGAAATTCATAAACCAAAATAAAATTAGTTTGTGCAATTTGCATAAATTGTTTAGAAATATTTAAATTTCGGCCATAAAAATAAATTTTAGTCAACTTTTACTCTCGTACTACCGTTAATGAATGCAACGCGGGTAACGCGTGTCGTGCTTAGTACGTGGTCGATGTACCGTCCCCAGAAGAGCACGAAAAAACGTATAAAAAAAGAACGGTTATGTTCGGCGACGGCACGGTTTTCTACCCTTCGTTCTCTTTTTTCCCCGAAATCCGTATATGTCTATGCTGGTCGGGTTATCGCAACAAACTACCCCAATGACGACACGATTAAAATTTCACGGCAAGCTGCATGAGCTCGAATGCGCTCTCTCACTTTCTCTCCCTCTCTGCCCCTTTTCTCTCTCCCTCCCCCCCTCTCTCTCTCTCTCTCTCTCTCTCTGTCTCCTCTCCTCTCCTCTCTCTTTCTACCGTTTCTATATGATCCCCCTCTGTGCCGTGACTGCCCCCGATCGTCCGGTTGCCGTTCTATCCGATCCCCGTAGCCCGTCTCTCGTCCCACAACTCCGCCACCCCCTCGTCCCTGTTGGGTGATTGGTACGCGACCGCAGCCACCCCCGCTTTTTAATACACCCGCACCTGCATAGGCTGCACCCGCAACCGGTGAGCTGCCAGGCTATATATATGTGTGTATGTGACGGGGTGCATCCAACCCCTCTACGGGAGCGGTATCCCCTCGTTCCCTCTTTCCGGCCGGTTCCGGCATGGAACTCGTGGCCCTCGTCTCCCTCGCGCCGCCAACGCGCCGCGTCAACGTCACGGTGTACTGAGTGATTCATCGATCGAACGTATTCGCGTCGTCCCTGCGTCCATTCCCCAAAATAGCGACAAAGACTAGTCCTCTCGTGGCGCGTAGTTCGTATACAGGCTCGCGACACTAAAACCGCCGCCAGCAAGTCGCCGGATATAGGAAAATGCATTTCGGGACAGTTCGCGGGCTGATTGGCCGATTCTTTCGATCACGATAACGAACGGAGCTTTATATGCCTTTCACAAATCCTGACAGCTATTTTAAATGCAGAGGAAATACAGCTTCGTTTAACACATTAACCAAATTGATCGTTTGTGTCAAGTAATCCTTTAATCTCAAACATCACATTTGTATTTGTATAGTTCTTAATTAATTAACTTTTTAAATAAAAAAACTTTATAAGAAAATTAACGATAAATACAGAATTATGTACGCTTTCTATCTGACGAGAACAAACATCGATGAAAAATCTTGAACACAGAATCAAATATTGTATCGAAATTAAATAATGTTCGTAAGAGACATGTTCGTAAGAGGCACCGAGAAAGAAGAGATAAGAATAAACACGTACATATCAGTAGAAGAGAGGAAAGAAGAAAGACGCAATCGCGGATCGAATAAGAAAAGCGGATCGTCTGAGGGGTGCCCGTTTATTCTTTCTCCACGTTGGCGAAGGTGTTGAAGCTCGGAGAAAAATATCTCAGCCATAAATAAATTATAAGAGCCGAAAAAAGTTTCCCAGCACACTGGCATCCCGCTGCCGCTCCGAGTTCCGGATAGCGCGACGCTCGCTAGGAGAAGGTCAGAGGTGTACTTTAGTACTTTTTGTCCTTCCAAGCTGCCACCGGCTCCGCCCGACCCTCCGCCTTTTCCGTTAGGAGAGGGCGTTCTTTTTTATTTTTTCGCTACCCTCTCTCGCCAGCCGAGCACTTTAGATAATAAGGCCAGGGCGCTCGCTACGGACGAAAGGGTAAATTGGGTATTCGTCCGAGGAATTATCTCTCTAATTTCTTTAACGTACCAGTCTCTCACCTTCCGTTCCTCTTATGTATGTATAATTTCCATCGCACCGCGCGCAACCCCCTTGCCTCCCACTTTCTATCGGGACAAGCTCGAACCCTATCAGCAGATACCAGAGTCTCTTCATGCTTCCTGAAGATGAAAGCTCCAGCCAGAAAGATTAGGAATAGCCGACCGCCTGACGTAATTATTTTGTCGATCCTTTTGATGCGGTTCGGCCAGTTACATTCGCTACAGCCATTATCACCTTTTCAATATTCAGCATGTTAATTGCTAGATAAACGTAACTTATCGTGAAATTAATTAAAGCTATACGCAAATCGACAACAGTATTCTCTTTCTATTATGCAAGCATCTATTGATGTCAAATATGTTTCAAAAATGTTTCAAACATATAAACAAAAAACCTGTTTCTGTAACGTAAAACATCCGCTTTAGCTCTCTCTCTCTCCCTCCCTCCCTCCCTCCCTCTCCCCCCCCCCTCTTGCGGGAGGTATAACGAAACTATTACAAGCTGCACGTTGAAGCTAATAATAACAAACGATCGACGATGCAAGGAGGGATGGCGATGTAATTCGTACAAATGATAGTTCACGACTATCGGCCGACGAGGGTGGAAGCTCGTATCCATCGGAATGGCCCTGAAATTAGATCCTACCCTTGGCGCAGGTCCGAGTTCGACAAATTCGGTTAGCCGGATGAAAAATGAAGCGCTACTATCGACAGCCCAGCAATGAGATCAGCCGATCGTACAATTTCTTTTACAAACTAAAACTAATCTTACAGAACCTTATAGCGATAAAAGCTAAGAATTTCCGAGATTCTGTAAAACTTGAAAAAAATTAGTTTTACTAAATTAAAATCTTTTCCAGTAATGTCAGCGTGCACACTTTTTATATTACAATGATCAGTTTTGACTCGAGGATTGCTTTACAAAGGATCAGTCCGTCGTGACTCTCCCGCGGATCAGATGTCAACGCAGAAATAACTGTAAGAGAAGAGGTTTGTTCCTCGTGTAGCCTGAAGCGTTCGTCATATTATGTTTGCTTCTGGTGTTTGCGACTCCCCGTGCTCCGGATGACGATATTTCGAATGAAGGGTGGCTCGGTAAGGTGGATATATCCGTATTTGTTTTTCGTGCGTACGAAAGATTTTATGATGTACGACATGCGATAATCTAACAATTATGTTAATCCTGCGTTATAGCTATAATATGGTTCCTTGTAAAAATTATAATATTAAAATAGCCGAAATCTCAACGGTAATTTTTATTTTAAGTATTGTTGGCAAATCTTGAAATCCTCTATTTTATTCCAGATATTCCAGTGATAAAATCGAACTTTACAGCAAACCGTCAACGACCTTAATTCCATTTAGGTGCGCTTTCCAAATCGTCGGCAGCATCTTTTCAATGGTTGAGACGAACGAATCGAACGAAACGAGTCGATGAAAGGGGAAGCGAAGCAGGAGGTGGCATCGCCAAAAGCGTAACTCTGCCAAAGACAATATAAAAGTTGGGAGGGTCTCGCGGGATTGGAAGTCGTAAATATCATCTGCTAAATAAAGCTTCATCCTCGAGTACGACTCGGGCGATGGTGAAAACCCCTTTGCACCACGCGCAGGAGGGGGACAAATCCAAGACAAAGACTCGTAACGCTGACTGACATTAAAATATTGAAAGGAAGAAGAGTGGAGTGTGCTAAGCGGTGTTTATGCTCGATCCTTTATTTTTTGCATTTGCAATATGTATTTCGTATTTTAACAATAGGGCAGATTTTACTCTACTCGATCATCTCTTCCTTCTATAAGTTTCACGTGTGAGTGAAAATTTTCAATCGGTATAATATTGCAAATAAGGCACGTTTTTGCATTTACGTCATTTTGTTCGCACGCAGGCCATTCGAAATGCAAGTTACTTAGGAATCGCAACGGGACAAAATAATACGTACGTAAAATAAAAATTTTCCCGTCTCCGTGCATCCTAGAAACTTATTCTTCCGCACCGGAGTGTCCCATCAAGGTTTGCTTAAGGCAGCCCTTCGAAAGCGTCGCGCGAACCATTAAGCAAAAGCGTTTGGCTAACCGAGACAAAAATCCAGCGATATTTTTCTATTCCCTTCCCCGTGATAGGCGGGCGACCGGAGGGTGGTTGAATTCCGTGCGTGCCAACACGGACAAAAGACAAACGCCGTTGTCGTCGTCTTTCGTTTGTTTCAAGCGTCATTTGTTTGGCAGCCTGGATGGGCTCGTGGCTTCTCGAAATTCGAGGGGGTGCAACGGCGCATTCGCCGGGAAAGACGCAAGACATGGGGTTGCATGGTTAGAAAAGGCCACATTTGAATGCTATCGAAAAGAAGCGCTCTTTCATCTAGGTTTAATCGTACCATTCCAATGGCCATTACACACCATTTCAAGCACGATCAATGTATAAATTTATTATTGAAAGAGCAAATCAATAA